CTATATATCCCTCGATTTGCACGAAATATGGCCCTATGAACTTAATTAATTCTAGAACGAGGTGTGTTAAATTTCCTGAAAATCGGTTCAGATTTAGATAAAGCTCCCATATATAGTTTCGTCCGATTTTATGTAAATGGTGCACCAAAGTCCCTATATATCCTTCGATTTGCACGAAATTTGGATTTATAAGTAAATGAAGAACTCAAAATATGGCCGAATGCACAAAACATACTGAAATAGGTGTAACCTAACATGTGACAAGTTTCGATGAAATCGGTTTAGATTTCGATATTTATCTTAAAAATTATTTACATAATTTTTTTCCATTGTAAGAAACAACTCTATACCCGAACAAAATTTAGTATATGTTGCAGAATGATATGTTTAATTTCATGTTAATGGTCCTTGAAATTAGGATTCCATCTGTTGAATATATCCAAAGTGGTGAAGGGTATCATATAGTCGGTCCCGTTCTACTTTACTACTTTCCTTAATGTTTTTTGTATTTTTTTAAAGCCTTTGTGGCGGCATTACCCCGCCCTACTTTCGATATTTTAGGTCGCAATATCCTTCCAAAGTAGCTGTAATTTGGCATTATGGACTTTTGGAGGGTGAAAAATAATTTTGCAGAACAATTTCGATATAGACTGAAATGTTGACATAGCTCCCATATAACAGTTCCGTCCAACTTCTGGTATTTTGAAGACTTTTACCACATTATACCATTGCAATTTGGCTCCTGGTGAGATCATGGAGGCTGGTAGACATATATGGAAAAAAAATTATCAAAATAAATACAAGATTTAACATAGGTCCCATAAAAATAGTCCCGGTCCTTTTCAGTACCATGTAATATGGTATTTTGGGTTCTTAGAGGGTTGTCTTTTATGTCCATTTCACCCAAAATATCTCCGCTTGACCCCTTGGCTCCACTTCTTCCTCTTCTCCCCCTCCTTAATTTATTATTACTATTTGTAACTTATTTATGTATTGTTCTTGAATAGTTCTTGTGTGTGTGTGTGCGGGGTGAAACAAAGCATTTAAATGTCGCGTCGCCAAATGGTGGGCGATTGTGGCTGTTTTATGCTAATTCCGGTTGAATTTTGTTACCTATACATTTATATGCCCTAGAGTCTAAATACTCCGGGTTGGCAAAAGGTTTACCCAACCGATTTTTATTGCCTTTTTTCCATCAGAGACAGGTTGAATGGTTGGTTGGTTGACTAGAGACCAGAGCTGAGGTTTGACATTGTTTTATTTTTTTTTTTCTTCTAACATTTATTTTAATTTTTCCTATTTGTTGTTGGTTTTTTGTTTGCTGCTATTGTCCGTGGGTGGTTGATTTCTTGAATTAGGGTCAAAATTCCATACAAACATTACATTAAGGAAAGTTGTAATAGTTTGAAATATGGAGGGGGTACCCATTTCAAACTATTACAACTGGTTAGGGGGAGAACGTGTAGCTTGTAAAGGTGATCGGGTACCCGAAGGTGTCATAAATCATTGTTGGGCTCTTGAAACTATTTTCAAACATTTAAAGTTTTGGATATTTTATTTTTAGTTGGCTTAATAGATTATGTAATGTGATTGCCAAAAAAATTATATTTATTTGTCTAGGTAAGGTGACATTTTTTTCAAAAAAAAAAAAAAAAAAAAAATAAATAAATAAAAAAAAATAAAAATAAATAAATAAGTAAAAAAGTATGATAGAATTTTTATCATATCATCAAAAAATATTTTAAAAATTAATTATCTTTTAGGTTTTTCAAAGTATTTTTTTCTCTATAATGTTGGCCCTGGAATAGATTTTTGTTAATTTATAATAATTCATATTCTGTGTAAAATCTACGCTTCTGGTCATCTTTCAAATATTTTTTAAGTCCATGTTTATGGAGTATACACTACACCTGTTCAAGGATTAACAAATATTCTGAAAATAGAAGGTATTCTAAATATAATGTCTGTCGTAAAGTGTGACATATGCGAGATTGAATTGGAATTCCATAAAAAAAATCATGCTAATTACTGTTTGATAGATTTCCAATCAAAGCTTATACAAAATAGATAAACACTAATTGAAAAGATATAAACATTGAGGTATACCCAAAAAAAAGAAACCATCTGCCTCAGAGGATAATATTGTGCCAACAAGTGTCACAATATTTCGCCTGAGGCTACGAGACCACCCATGGCTCGATTTACGCTTTATGTTGCGCTGTATGACATTTTGATTTGATCCAAAGCGTAACGAAAACCTTGAGGCCACACCGAAAACAAAACAACAACAAAAACCGAGTGAAGAACACAAAAAATCCTTTAACTCTTCAAGAAATTAAAATCAACCGCAAATAATTCTCGACAACTTGATGAGGCCATTATTCGATTCGTTAGGCACTTCAGACAATCAGCGACGAACATCATAAATCGTTTAATCATTTGGCAATTAGGTATTTTTCGTTATCTTCACGAAGAAGGAGAGGGGGGTTGGATGAGTTCTAGGCCGTATATATTTAAGGGTTGGAATTGTGAACAAAAAGGTATTATTGTTTTTTCTGAGTCAGATAGCTGACAACAACAACAGCAAGTAATGACTATACGGCTGAGTAACTTCCAAAAACTCAATGAATGAATGGTTGAACGAGTGAGTGAACGAATGAATGAATTGTGTTAATTGCAAATCACAACCGCTAAGTGAAGCTTAAAGTCTTATACAATTCTTTGTTGTTGTTTTGTTCGGTGGGGGTATATAAGGTTAGGCCTTGCCACACGTGTTCTCCACTAATGGATGTTAATGTTGCATCCAACATCTAACAATTTTCCATGCCATTTGAGAAACAATTTCTAACCTTTTCTTTTACGAACTTTCACAAACATGTAGTTGTGTGTGTGCGACTAAATGCCTTATAATTGTTTTGGGCCGTTTTGTTACGACATCCTCTCGCCGTCGTCGTCATCGCCATCGCTTGCGCCGTCATCACATTTTTGCCACCAGTTTTAGTGGTCTCCATTTAAATATTTCACCAACACTTGCACTAATTTTGATTTCCGTCATTTCGCTGCAGCGTCTTTCGTTTTGGGAAACGATAACAACTTCTTGTGTTCCTTTGACGTTCTGGCCAAGAGCGGAAAGTAATTTTAATTTAACAAAAAACGCATGTTGCTAATATTTTAATTACCAACATGCAATGTAGTTTTTTGTGGGCCTTTAGAATTTTAGTTTCTAAGGCTTTTGGGAAATAAGCATTGAAGCAAACTAATTTTGAACTATTTAGGGGAGTTTACTCTTTCTTAAAGAAATTAACGACCTCTTTGGTCTTCGAAAAAAAAACTTAATCCGTTCTTATTATGATCTTCTTAAAAAACTATTATTTTTACAAATCTGAGCATGTAATGGTCTTCGAAAATTGTTTTTTGTCGAATGAAAAAATACTCTTTAAAAATATTTTTTACAACTCCTCGACTTTTTTGGTCCCTGAAAAAATATTTTTGGACCCTATTTTTTTGGACCATAAAAAATATTTTTTTACAAATCCTCGCCTAGTTTTTGTCCCTGAAAAGATAGTATTCAAAAAATTTACGCCTGTTCGGTTCCTTAAAAAAAAACACTTCAAAAATCGACGCCAGTTCGGGCCCTTAATAAATATTCTTCAAAAATCGACACCTGTTCGGGTCCTTAAACATATTCTTCAAAAAATCCCTGAGTGTTCGGGTCCCTAAAAAAAATATTATTAAAATCGTGCCTGTTTGGATTCTTAAAAAAATATTTCTTTAAAAATGCACGCCTGCTTTGATCTTTAAAAAATATTCTTTGCAAAATTTGTGCCTGTGTTTAAAAATACACGCCTGCTTTGATCCTGATCCTTTTGGCTGCTTGAAAAAATATTCTTTAAAAAAATCCACGCCTTGTATGGCTGCTTGAAAAAATAATCTTTAAAAATACACGCCTGCTTTGATTCTGATCCTTGTGGCTGCTTGAAAAAAATTTCTTTAAAAAATCCACGCCTTGTATGGCTGCTTGAAAAAATATTCTTTAAAACATCCACGCCTTGTATGGCTGCTTGAAAAAATATTCTTTAAAAATACACGCCTGCTTTGATCCTGATCCTTTTGGCTGCTTGAAAAAAAATTCTTTAAAAAAATCCACGCCTTGTATGGCTGCTTGAAAAAATATTCTGTAACAGCTCGGTCCACGTTGTGTCAATAAAGCCGGCACCACGTTGGGCGCCAGTGAAGAAACTCGAAACAACAAGATTTACAATAATGTTGGCTACTCCTTGTTTAGGAACTACTTCCAGCTTATGATCTAGTCCATCATCTTGGGCAAGCGTGGGTAATGATCTTAAGCCTTCAGTGTTCGCTTAAACGAATTAGAGCCGGGTGGTCCAGAACTCGGCGTGTAGCTGATTTTATTGATATTAGATTGAGCTTAGGTACTGCTTATGAGAAGCAAGATTCTTATCTAGTTTTGGTTGTATAAAAAGGTAATAAGGTCAGTGATGTAGGTGTTGGTACTGTTTACAAAATATTTACATGGTTAACCTTTAATTTCAAATATTTAAATAAGAGTTGTATTCAAATGATTAATAAAACGTATGATCCGCTTCAATTCTTTAAAAAATCCACGCCTTGTATGGCTGCTTGAAAAAATATTCGTTAAAAAATCCACGCCTTGCAAGGCCTTGAAAAAATAGTCTTTAAGAAATCCCCGCCTTGGAAGGCTTTGAAAAACTATTCTTTAAGAAATCCTCGCCTTGGAAGGCTTTAAAAAACATTCTTTAAAAAATCCACGTCATGGAAGGCTTTCAAAAAGTATTCTTTAAGAAATCCATGCCTTTGAAGGCTTTGAACAAATATAATTAAAAAAAAATCCACGACTCATATTATGACTTGAAAAATCACGAGTTGTATAATCCAATACCTGTTTTGGACCTTGAAATAAGATTTTTTTAAACAAATTTTCTAATTTTTTGTGTTTTTCTTTTCTTTTTAAATTCCAGGTTCCGGTCAAATACAATTGTGGCAATTTTTATTGGAGCTACTCTCAGATTCCAGTAATGCCGGCTGCATAACATGGGAGGGCACAAACGGTGAATTCAAATTAACCGATCCCGATGAAGTTGCCCGTCGCTGGGGTGAACGGAAATCAAAACCGAATATGAATTATGATAAATTAAGTCGGGCATTGAGGTGAGTAACGTTTTTAATTTAAAAAAGAAAATATTATGAAATTAAAAAAATATATGACAATTCATCTATGCCTCACATAAATATTCCAACTTAATATTTAATGAACAAAAATATCGCAATTGCAAAAAATTAGGGTTGTTTTTTGTACTCCCATCCCTGCAACAATCATTGCGAATAACAACTCATTAGCCTTTAGAAGGAAACTGCGGTAGTTTTGTGATTGGCATAACAAGTGCAGGCATCTTAGGTGGTTTCTGCCTAGTTCAGCCTTCCCCCTTTCTACTCCCATTTTTCCGCCTCATTTCTATTCGCATTAGTTGTTGTAGTTCAGCAGGTCAGGGAGATTTCGAAACGATAAAAATCCGCACACATGTTGAGGGTAAATAATTGAATGTCATTGATTAGTCTGGTTCATTGATTGATTATTATCTGGCAATTGGCAAAAAAATTCGATTTTTTTATATAGAAAATCAAAGAAAATTACCCAAAAACTATTTTCCATTTAAAGATAAGCAAAAAGAAATGAAGAATTAAAAATGTTTTTCCATTTGAAGATTGGCCAAATGTTGTGACTTTAATGCCAATATTAGGCCAAGGATCAGGCATCATATGTCACATGCCAGGGCAAGGAGGTTAGGGGAGCGTGTTTGAGTTGCTAGCTGGGTTAATGATAACAAATGTTTTGCCATGCCTCACAACATGTGTGAGGATGGATGAAAGGTTGTACGTTTTATTTGCGGGGTGGTGAAGATTTCCTTTGTGTTGTTGTTGTTGTTGCTGAATAGAAATCAAATTAAGCCCACTGCTGGGTTTACTCTCACTGCCCATTGGAATTAGAATTGAAATTGTAATAAAATTGGAAATGTAATGAAATTTGCCAAAAAAAGAAGCACAGCAACAACAACAATAATAATAATGTGACCATAAATGACAATTTACCCATAAATGACAAACGAAAATTTGTTTGCTCTGTTTATTTGTTGTTCAGGGGCGAGAGATTCGGGGGGTCATGTGATGTTTAGGTAAAATGTGTAGTGTAATTGATTTGTAAAACATTTAACCACCCACTGTGCCAACTCAACACTCAATTAATATTTAAATTGAAACAAGTTTTCAATTTGCCGAACATTCGTTTTGTATTTTTTCGGAATCCGTAAAAAAAATCGACAATGCAAACAGTCAACACTTTCTTTGACATATTTGCACAATTGTGACATTTTTTCGGTTCGCTGTGATGCACACGAAACAAAAGTTTCGAAAATATGAAAAGTCAAAAAACGAAACGAACCCTCAATGATAAATGGCTGGGCATCGTAAAACAAGTCAGATGCAAGATTTTATTCGTGCGGCAGCAGTGTGAGATGTTGGCGGTCACTTCCGGTCCAAATGAATGCTGGATGAATGAATGGCACACACAACACAGCCCAGAGACACAACAAATTAATGGAGGAGCCACCAAAAGCCATTTTTGTTATTCATTGCATTTCCCCTCCCTGCCATTGGCCACTTATTTTAGTTGCTGCAACTGCTGCTGCCGCACATACAATAATGATGTGCTGTTGCGATGATATTCGATTCGAAAATTGCCACGAATTTCATTTGACATCACAATTATTGTGACAGTCATTGTTTTCAATTTCAATGGAAAACCAGAAAAGAAAAACAGAAAAAAATGAAAATTGCACAAAAAAAATATTCGTGGACATTCAGATAAAAAAGTTTCGCCTTGCTTTGTTTGTGTATTGTTGCAGACTGCACCATCAGCAAATTATTGCTAATTACCAATGACAATGACTTCGACCATGAATGGAGGTGCAGGGACATAAAACAATTTTTGTTTTTTCGTTCGATTATTTTGATTGGCCATTAAAAATAAACGGGAATAAAAAAATCATTGCAATAATGGGGCAAGGAAGAGGTTTTAATCAGTGGTTAATTATAATGGAATTAAATATATGGGGGATCAATAAAATATTAAAAAAAATAAATGAAAAAATGAATTAAACAAGTTGCAAGGTAGTCGATAGTCTATAATTCTTTAAAATATTTTTATACCCTTCACCCTTCATAATATGAAGGGTATATTAATGTTAGTTTCCTACACCACGAAATATTCTGATTAAAATCCGTTGGTCTATTGAAGTCACAAAAGAGATCGCAATTTTTAAAATAGGGCTTTAATATTTTGCACATACATGTTTATACCCTCCACCATAGTATGGAGGGTAGATTAATTTTGATTTTCCGTTTGTAACTCATCGGAATAATCACCTGATCAGCGTAAAAATCTATGACGATCTAAGCATTTCCACCTGTCTGTTTTAATCACTCTAGCCTCTAAACCAAAATTTGTCTGCAGGCAGGTCAAGTTCGAAGATGGACTATATCGGTCCATGTTAAGGATAGCTCCCATATAAGGATACCCCCCAATTTTCATTATTTCTCCACTAAAATTTTATATAAAAGCCTGCTGTTTCTGGTAGTCCCCATATAACGTTACCCCCCTAATTTTAGTTCGTTTTGGGGGATGGAGGGGTTGACCGCATTTTTCGCCCGAATTGGCTGTAATTTACTACTTCTCCTTGGGAAGAAGATCTCTCCACTAAAAATGATAAATATAGGTCAAATTTTTCGGATAGCCCCCAAATAAGAATACCAATCAATTTTCGGTATTTTGGGGTTCTTGAACACGTTTAGGGATAGTCCCTATACAACAACCATTTTTATACCCTTCACCACATTGTGGTACAGGGTATTATGTCTTTGTGCATATGTTTGTAACAGGCAAAAGGAAACGAGCTAGACACATGGTTCCTTTTGAGAATATGCATAGAATCACTTTTATGCCGATTTATGCATATCCGTCCTTCCGTCTGTCCGCCTGTCTGTCCATGTTAAATTGTAAACAAAGTACAGGTCGCATTTTTTCGAATTGGATGAAATTTGGCACAGCTCATTTATTTGGCTCAAGAATGAACCCTATTGAAATTGGGAAAAATCGGTTCAGATTTACATATAGCTCCCATATATACATTCGTCCTATTTTATGTAAATGTTGCACCAAAGTATCTATATATCCTTCGATTTCCACGAAAATTGGCATGGTGTACTGACTTGGGTCTAGAATAATGTGTGCTAAGTTTTAAAAAAATCGGTTCAGATTTAGATATAGCTCCCATATATATCCGATCCGATTTAATGTAAATGGTGCACCAAAGACCCTATATATTCTTCGATTTGCACGAAATTTGGCACAGCGTAATGAATTAGGTCTAGAATGATGTGTCCTAAGTTTGGTGAAAATCGGTTCAGAATTAGATATAGCTCGCATATATATTTTCGTCCGATTTAATGTAAATAGAGCACCAAAGTATCTATATATCCTTCGATTTTCACGAAATTTGGCATAGCGTACTCAATTAAAAGTAGAATGATGTGTATTAAGTTTCGTGAAAATCAGTTCAGATATAGATATAGCTCCCATATATATTTTCGTCCGATTTAATAGAAATGATGCACCAAACTCCCCATATATCTTTCGATTTGCACGACATTTAGCACCGCGTACTGAATTAAGTCTAGAATGATGTGTGTTAAGTTTCGTGAAAATCGGTTCATATTTAGACATAGCTCCCGTATATATTTTCGTCCGATTTTATGTAAATGGTACACCAAAGACTCTATATATCTTTCGATTTGCACAAACTTTTGCATAGCGAACTGAATTAAGAGAAGAATGATGTGTGTTAAGTTTCGTGAAAATTGGTTGAGATTTATATATAGCTCCCATATATATTTTCGTCCGATTTAATGTAAATGGTGCACCAAAGTTCCTATATATCTTTCGCTTTAAACGAAATTTGGCACAGTGTAATGAATTAGGTCTAGAATGATGTGTGTTAAGTTTCCTGAAAATCGGTTCATATTTAGATATAGCTCCCATATATATTTTCGTCCGATTTCATGTAAATGGTGCACCAAATAACTTTCGATTTGCATGAAATTTGGCACAGCGTAATGAATTAGGTCTAGAATGATGTGTGTTAAATCTGAAATCTGGTCAGATTTAGATATAGCTTCTATATCTGACCAAATGAAAAATTTTTTATAGGGTGCAGAATGACATGTTTATGGATCCAATTTCATTTTACTGGTCTTTTAAAAATGCGACCTCTTTTAGGATGCATATGTAGAATATAACCAAAGTGGTGAAGGGTATCATAAAGTCGGACCCGTCCGACTTTACTACTTTCCTTACTGGTTTTTATATATTAAAACAGTTCATTTGTTCCGTGTGTTGGAGTTGCCCCTATATAGGCGTATTCCACCATATTATGGAGGATAGAGTATGAAATTCTAAGACGATTTAGCCGTAGCATCCGTTGAAATCATTCCGCCTCCTAAGGATATCGTGATAAAAAAAAAACTCGATAATGAAATATGTCGGCCAGTATTTAGATATCTTCCCCATATAACGATAACTCCTGAAGGTAAGAATTGAGATACAAAACTAAAATATTGGGTTCGAAATTGACATATATAGGTCATTAGTTAGGCATAGCCCTCATATATTCGCTAATTCCTACACTATGTAATCAATATTGGCCACCTTTATGCACAGCCTCATATTACTTTGCAAGCTAAATTGCAGTAGTTTGGAGATTTTATACTACACCATCAGTATCAGTCCACGTTTTGGGGTTTTTAGATTTTAGGAAAAAATTCCCATTAAAAATTGCTGATATTTGTATTTGGTGTACATTCGGTCCACTTTTTGGTTTGTTCCCTATATTTTCATTGTAAATATCTGTCAGTGTTTCAACTCCAAGGATGCTTATTATCGAAAATAGTATATATCGATTAAAGTTTTTGTATTGACTAAATATCTCAAAAAATCCACTCCTTAGTGCACCGCTTTCAATAATATTTGCAAATAGGTCAATTTTCTCTCTCTCAAAATACCCCCTTCGCCAAAAATATATGTCCTTATTCCGTCATTTGCACTCGTCCTCCTTAGAACCTGTTAAAAGTCTTCTTTGTGTCAATTGACAACATCTTTGTCAATAAGCAAATAAGCTAAATTGTCAGAGGCTTATCCTTGCTGTTGTTGTCTGCTTATTTGCTTATATCCTTTGAAAGGGGAAAACAAATCTGTGTTAAAAAAACACAGACACTTTTACAGAAAGGATACCAATCAACCATGTAAATTGCCACCCAAAAAAAATCAACGAACTGAAGAATCATTTGAAAATTCCCAATTTCGTTTGAAGTCCTTGTGCAAAAATACTTTTTTTGCATCATTTGTAAATTACAGTGTTAATGCAGTTTACTTTGGAAGACAACACGTTAGGCTGGGGTAGAAGAGATCAAAGACATTGATGTATTGTTGCTGTTGTTGTTGTTTGTGGGGAATTTAAAGAATTGCTCTTTTAGCAATCCTTTCTAGTATTGACAGCATGAACATCATCATTCTCGTTAACATCTTCATTGTCATCAACATAAATCCTTTAAATGCTTCATTTATTTTTATTTTTTGGTGCTTGTTTGTGTTTGTATTGGTAAGGCAAACATAAATCCCCATATAGGACATATGTGTTGATGTCTTTGATTGTTTTGGTGTTGATGGTGATGTGGATGATGCTGATGATGGACACTTGTATTTGTAAACTAAATGGCTTGCTTTAATCCTTTTTTCTCTCCTCTTTCTTTTTTGTTGAAGTGTTAACGTGCGGGTGGGGGAGATATTTTTGAGGTTATGTTTACCAATTGTTTTCCATTCATTTACCAAATAGGGAAGACAATCATTGGCTGATTGCCTTGGATTGATGCTGATGATGGTGATGAGGATAATACCGTCTTTTGTTTGTTGTTTGCGATTTATAAAAAGGGTTTTTTGTATTTTCGTATTTCTGCTTTTGATTGAATGTGTAAATAGCCAGGGATAGTATTGGCAAATATTTTGGAAGGCTGTTGTTTGCTGTTGTAGTGGACAAGCAGTAGGACTGATATATGATCCCTGATTGGATAGATTAAGTTGCTAGACTTATGGCATTTGTTGGGATAGTTACATAAACAGATTTTTAAAAATCGATGGCTCAGAAATATTTTTTTGTAAAAATTGTGATGTTTCTTTAAGATATTATATTAAAAATTTGCATATTTAAATAATCGACGAAGTCTTAGTACCTAGGTAAAAAATGTATGAGGTTGTTAAAAATTAACAAGTGAAAAAGGGCGATAAGTTCGGCCGGGCCGAACTTTGGATACTATACTATATTCAATGGTATACTGATAGTTAAGTGGAATGAAAATATAGGGAACATATCAAAATGTGGACATATAAGGATAATTCTACCAAACGATCTTTGTAAATCATAATGTACAACAAAAACTAATTTCAGCAATTTTTAATGACGATTATTTTTGTAAAATATCAAAACCTAAAATGCATTTTTAGGTTGGAGAATGTGTATGTATGTAATCATCAAAATACTCCAATTTAGAGTGAAAACTTTCTTCAAAAATATCTTCCTTCACCCTAATTATTAAATCGGTAGGTATTTTTATATAGGGTCTAGGCCTAAATGCGTGCCTAGACCCTATTCTTCAATTTAATTTTTATCTTGATATTCTTCGAAGGCAGAATTACTACAACAGATTTAGTCGATATAGCAAATCGACAAAATCGTCTTAGACTTCCATACGTTGTAGGATTTAAACTGACAATATTGTAGAAAGATTTGGTTTTGGATTTGGTTTATACGAGGGCAGTTTGGAAAATTCTTAGCCTACAACAAAAAGCGCAGGGGCTTCCGGAATAAGTGGACCAATATTTATAAGTTTTAGTGGAGATATTTTAGGCTTCATTCAGTGCCCTATAACAAAATTCGTGCAAATCGAAAGATATATAGGGTCCTTGGTGCACCAATTACATAAAATCGGACCAAAATATACATGGGATCTATATCTAAATCGGAACCGATTTTTACGAAACTTTGCACACATCATTCCAGACTTAATTTAGTACTCTATGGCAAAATTCATGCACATGAAAAGATTTTCAGGGACTTTGGTGCACCAATTACCTAAAATCGGTCGGAACTATATATGGGAGCTATATCTAAATCTGAACCGATTTTCATGCATGCATTATTATAGACGCAATTCAGTACGCTATGCCAAATTTCGTGCAAATCGAAAGATATATAGGGTCCTTGGTGCACCAATTACCTTAAATCGGATGAAAATTTATATGTTGGAGCTATATCAGTATGCTATGCCAAAAGTCGAGCAAATCAAAAAAATATCCAGTGACTTTAGTGGACTATTTACCTAAAATCGGGCGAATCTATATATGGGAGCTATATCTAAATCTGAACCGATTTTCACGAAACTTTGCACACATCATTCTAGACTTAATTCAGTACGCTATGCCAAATTTCGGACAAATCGAAAGATATATAGGGACTTTGGTGCCCAACTATATCTAAATCTGAACCGATTTTTCCCAATTTCAATAGGGTTCGTCCTTGGGCCAAATAAGTGACTTGTGCCAAATTTCATCCAAATCGGATCATAAATGCGACCTGTACTTTGGTTACAATTTAACATCTACAGACGGACGGACGGACATGCATAAATGGACTCAGAAAGTGATTCTATGCATATTCTCAAAAGAAACCGTGTGTATATCTCGTTTCATTTTGCCTGTTACCAACCTATGCATAAAGACATAATACCCTGTGCCACAGTGTGATGAAAGGGTATAAAAATAAAATCAGCAACGCTAATAATTCCTAAAAAAATATTTTTATACAAATTCACGATATTGTTGGCGCTTTAAAAACTATTTTTGTTTTTGAACCCCTATTGGCCCATAGTCGTTAACAATGAGCTTATCTATTATTGCCTTTAAAACTTTGTGAAAATCTAAAAAATATTTATGATAAATATTCGTGAAACTCCCATTCCAATTCCCTGAATAGTGTTTTTATGAATAAATTAATTTGAATTTAATAACCATAACCTATGAATGAATATTAAGAAGGAATTCAAGCCATAATTATAATCTGACGCTAATTATGCCTCTGTTCTGCTAAGGTCATAAAGCAAGGAGAGTGTTATAGTGCTTTGTCTAAGAAGTGGTTTATGGCAAATTTCATGTTTGGCATAACCATTGGGGCTGAAATGAAAATTAAAATTAAGGCAATCACAGAAAAACCTCCCTAATTTACACAAAAGGTTACACTCACAGAGAGTTCAGACACAAAAATGACACCACTGGCTGGCAGGCTATATATTTATATTATAAGATTTATGTTCGGATTTAATTGCATTACACGAATGACCATGGCCAACGTAGTTTTGTATTAAAATTCAAAAGGCGATACAAAAGGAGTTGGAGGTGGATGAGTAGGTTGCGGATAGAGAAATCCCACTAAAGTCTTCTGACTTCTGTTTTGTGTTAAGTCAGGGGAGGGAACTAAGAAAGTTATTTTGATAGACATTTGATTTCTGGCTGTTTCGGGTAAACACTGGCCTTTTGCGTTTTATTTGCCCAACAAACACAGAGTGGCGGACTGGCAACTTGTAATAATGACCCCAAAATTTAATGTTGTGGGAAGTGCAAACAAATAATGGAGAAGTGTGCGATATGGGTTGTCTCCCATCTCGCCTCCTTCCCCCCCCCCTTGGGAGATGTTGATTTGATGTATTATCTCCTAATGTGTTGTGATTTTAATTATTTTAGCATTGTATTAATTTTCTCTTTTCTTCCAGATATTATTACGACAAAAACATTATGACCAAGGTCCATGGCAAACGTTATGCCTACAAATTCGATTTTCAAGGACTGGCCGCTGCCACCCAACCGGCTGCCAGTGATCCCACCTATAAATATCAAAGTGATTTATTTATGACACCATATCATCATAGCGCCAAACTGAGCTCATTTATGAGTCCGCATCATGGCATGACATCGTCATCAGGTAAGAGTGAGAGAAAACAAATTAAATTCTTATATTAAATATTAAAAATCTACATTTAATAATAAAAATTAGGGAAAAAGTACAGATAATCTCTTTAATTTAATTTAAATATCAGGCGGAATATTATGAATATTAATTTTTATTTTGAAACAAAATCACAAGAAACTAGGAAACATCTATGAGGTTGCTGGTAGCTTACAAAATATTTTTTGAATCTTCCAGTTCTTTATTTTTTAAATATTTTGATTAGAAATCAATAAATTATTTTATGGGAATTCTGGAGGTGGTTTTTTATACCCTTCACCACACTGTGGTACATGCACATGGTTCCTTTTGAGAATATGCATAAAATCACTTTCTGAGTCGATTTATGCATGTCCGTCCGTCCGTCTGTCCATGTTAAATTGTAAACAAAGTACAGGTCGCATTTATGGTCCGAATTGGATGAAATTTGGCACAGCTCATTTGGCCCAAGTACGAACCCTATTGAAATTGGGAAAAATCGGTTCAGATTTAGATATAGCTCCCATATATATTTTGGACCGATTTAACTTAAATGGTGTACCAAAGTCCCTATATATCTTTCGATTTGCACGAAATTTGGCTCAGCGTAATGAATAAAGTCGAGAATGATGTGTGCAAAGTTTCGTGAAAATCGGTTCAGATTTAAATATAGCTCCTATATATATCTTCGTCCGATTTAAGGTAAATTGTGTACCAAAGTCCCTATATATCTTTCGATTTGCACGAAATTTGGCACAGCGTAATGAATAAGGTCTAGAATGATGTCTGCCAAATTTCGTGAAAATCGCTTCAGATTTAGATATAGCTCCTATATATATCTTCGTCCGATTTAAGGTAAATTGTGTACCAAAGTCCCTATATATCTTTCGATTTGCACGAAATGTGGCATAGCGTACTAGATTAAGTCTAGAAAGATGTGTGCAAAGTTTCGTGAAAATCACTTCAGATTTAGATATAGCTCCTATATATATCTTCGTTCGATTTAAGGTAAATTGTGTACCAAAGTCCTTATATATCTTTCGATTTGCACGAAATTTGGCATAGCGTACTAGATTAAGTCTAGAATGATGTGTGCAAAATTTTCGTGAAAATCGGTTCAGATTTAGATATAGCTCCCATATATATCTTCGTCCGATTTAAGGTAAATGGTGTAACAAAGTCCCTATATATCATTCGATTTGCACGAAATTTGTCATAGCGTATTGAATTAAGGCTGGAATGACGTGTGCTAAGTTTCGTTAAAATCGGTTCAGATTTAGATATAGACCCCATATATATTTTCGTCCGATTTTATGTAATTGGTGCATTTTGGTATAGTGTACTGAATTACATCTAGATTGACACAACGTATTGAAGTAATATAAATTAGTCTCTGGCAAGTTTCCCTGAAATCGGTACAGATATAGATATATAACAAAAACGCGTCTGTTAGGATACATGTGTAGAATATACCCAAAGTGGTGAAGGGTATCAGTCCGACGTTACTACTTTCCTTACTGGTTTATCCATAGGTAACAAATAATCTTTTAGATTCACTAGTAGGCTAAAATTTTATTAGAATCAAGGATTGTGGCACAAGTCTCGAATTAAAATATATTTCCAACAACAAGATGTGCTATAAAACTCTCAACATTTTATGATTATAGCGATTTGTGTTTTATAGCGATTTGTGTTTTATAGCTAATTTGTTTTTTTTTTATTTTATTGTGGTGGTCATTCACGCTCCATAAAAAAATGGACTGGTTATAATTTATGTCTAAATTTATGAGCGTAGATGATCAGCTAGCATTTAAAGGCACGATCTTTAGAAAAAACAACAAGACGACAAAATTTATTCAAAACTCAGCTATAAATAACCAACCTGCTTTTGAAATCTGTGGGGGTAATGTCTATTGTTTAGATGTTTGAATTATTGACTAATTAGTTAATTTATTGGATTCCGGTAGACATTTCGGAATCAGCGGGAAATGCACATAACAACAACAATATAACTAAATGGGAAGATTTATTTTTTTAAATAGAAAATAAAACCAATAGATATTTGTTTAAAGTCTACACCGTATATTAGTTGATTTAAAAAAAATATTTTTTAATCCAACCCTTGGTTTAAAAAAAATATTTTTTTAATCCAAGCCTTAAGAAAATCCTTGAAAAAATATATTTTTATGCCTATGTTGTCAGGGTATTACAAAGCTATAATAGCCCAAGAGTTTGTAACGCCGCGAAATATTGGTCCTAGACCCTCCTTTAAGTATACGATTACTAGCTGACTAGCTGATTCGATCCAGACATGTGTGTCCGTCCGTCTGCCCATTATAATTCAGAAATTCAAGCATTCTACTGATCCTGGCATTTTTTTAATTCAAGCAAAAACCACGCATTTCGTTGGTCACTAAAAAATGTTTTTTAAATCTTTTTTCAAAAAATCCAATAAAAATATCTTTAAAAATATTTTTAATCAAATCCGCGCTTGAATTGGTACTTCATTTTTTTAATTAATTCTTCTAGTTATGTTAGGCACTTATAATAATTTTAGCTCGATTAGCCATTTAAAAAATAGTCTGTAAGAACAATCCCTATAGTCCTTGAAATCATTTTCAAAAATTCTTTTTTGTCTGTGTAATTTACTAATTTTTACATATTTTTCTCTCTTTTTGATCTATTTTTAGCTTCAATATTCCCCTCGGCCGCCTCCTGGGGTAACTGGGGTAACCATTCGAATTTGTATCAACCCCATTCGATGGGCCATGTTACCCCCTCCCACGTTGCTCCTCATTTGAGCTCATATCCCCACTACGCATGACCATCATCGTCTGGTGGTGGCTTCTAATATGAGAGTAACGCCATCGCTGGCAGCAGTGGGGCACATTCAATGCATTCAAGTGGCGTCGGTACATCGGCTGGAACAACATCAAGTGCGGCGGCAGCAGCAATTAATGCCGCCACTCTACATAATCTCCAGTCGGCGGTTAGTTCCAGTACCAATATGTCCGGCGGCTTAACCAACAACACGACCAGCGGCGGCATTGGCGGTGGTGGTGGTGGCGGTATCGGTGCCGGCTTAAATAGTGCCCTACAAACGGGTAGTAGTTTAAACCATAATAGCCTCAGTTTAAGCAACAACAGTAACAGCGGTGGCAGTAACAGTCTCATCAATGGCAACCATCTAAATATAGCAACAGCAGCCTCTCTAACGGCTTCCCACTCGCATGGTATGGGTGTAGGTGCGGGCGGTGGATTTGGAGCACTGGGTGTTGGTGTGGGTGGTGGTAATTTGAATTCCCTTGTGGTGGGCAATCGTCTAATGAATTCGGGCCTAACGACAATACTCAAATGATAACATATGGCTGACTACGGTCTGAGCTTGAGCGGCGCTAGCAATGCTGGCGATGGCCGATCGACCGCAGCCGTAATTAATGCAATAGAACCACTGGCACCCACCACATATAGTCCTCCGTTTCCAGAGGCGCCAACATTTTATCGACACATTAAAGGTGAACAACCATATTGAAACGGAACCACCACTACCCAAGTATCCATTAAAGTAAGAAATTTCCAGGGATATAATATCTTCAATGAAAGGTAATCTTTTCGGAGAAAATAAAGAACCCACACACCTACACCAAAACTCCCTTCTTACCGATCCAACACAAAAAAGCGTCCCCTCCAATAAGATAATACTAACGAATTTTTAAATGTTGTTATAAATAAGTCCAGCGGATGGAACATAAAGGTTATTACTTCCACATGAACAAAAAATAAACCCCTCCAACCCATTTTATGAAATTCTAAAGAAAAATTGGGTCAAATAAGGGTTAAAATGGAATTTTTCAAAACGTTGATGTGTTTGTCATACTTTTAAAGAATTTTTCTAAAATCTATTTATTAAAATTTTTATTTATATTTTGACCTCTGTTGCTGTATATCGTATTTATTAATTTCCATGTTTGCCATTTATTTTGCCCAATTTTCTTTGGTATTACCCTAACCTCCAAAAAATGAGAAAAATAATAATCTTAGAGAATATAAATTTAAGGCTCAGAAACCTCTCTCTCTCTATTCTAGTCATAAATGTTGTTTTTAACTGATGAACAAAAAATAAAACTAAATTAAGAAAAGTTATTAATAAATAAAAAGTATAAACAATTTTTAGCTCTAGTTAATAAAAGTATTTAATAACAATACAACAACAACAAATAAATAAAAGCGAACAAAGTTAATATTTCCTTTTGTAAAATGTCTCTCTTTTGTAAATATGAAATTAGATGTATGTACCGATTAAAAAATAGTAATTGTCAAATATATTTACATAGATGATTTTTCTTTTATTGGAATATATATACAACAGCGTGTATTTGTAGCAATAATTTCCACAAAAAAGCAACAACTTATATAACTTAATTAATTTAAAACATAAGTACTCACCAAGGAGACACATTGTATTACTCTCCCATCTCTGTCTCTCCCCATAAAAAAATACATTGCCATTTCGGGCAATACCTTTGTATAGTTTTGATGAGCGCTGCGTTTGACGTCTCTTTTCTTGACAGTTTAAATTAAATAGAATTTTATCTTAAACTGGGATGACTGTGATAGTGAAATGTACAGTTTATCAATACAAATTATTTAATGGACAAAAAATATATATATACACAATTTAAACAAATTTTAATTATAACATAAAAAATAAACATTAAAATTAAAAAAAAAAATGTTTTAATATTAAAATCAAGCGTATAGTTTAAGAAAAAAATATTTTATAATCAGTATTGACAACAATTCCAATTTATTTTAAGTACATAAAATACTCATATTTTAACTCGAAATTCAAATATTGTTTTCCAATTTTTAATGTTTGTTTTACAATTTGTTTTTTTCTTATATTAATTTATTGAATCATTTTACAAAATATTTATCACATTAAAAAACATCTGTTTTAACAAAAACAACTACCTAAAAGTATGCTAAAACATGTAATAAAATAAAAAAATAATTTGATGTTAAATTAAAACCAAACAAAAAAGGCAATTGAAATTATTTTTATACACTCATCCTTATGGCTAATGAGGGTATATACACTTTGTTATGGCAAAAATCTGGCCCTCGAAATCTTCGTTTCAAACCCCATGTTTCTTTGGACCAAATCCGTTTCAGACAATTTGGAGTCGATTTACAAATGTCTTCGATTACCGTTTCAGAGTAATTAAATCTGTGTGTAATTTCGAAGACCTCCGCAAACCATAGACTGGGGTATATATCCGTCGGCAACACCGAATGACACTTTTGTACTTGTCTATTATATAACATAAGTTTATATATGTATTGTCATTATGGAATATAACTTTAGAATTCCCTCGAAACAAATTTATGAACATCGGTTAAGTAGTCGCTGATGTTCCGAAATCTAGTTGCTTGAAACTTCACAACTATTACTTGAAAGTGAAGAATTCAAGAATACTGTTATTTTTTGTTGATGTGACAACTCTGTCAAATATACTGGGTACTATTAGATAGATAATATACTAACCTAATAGAATACATTTGAATTATTTCCGTATATCCACGCATTCGAATGTTATGAGGAATCTAAAATACCGATGATTTTTTGTGAATTTGGTAGCACTGCTAAATAATTGTCGCCAGCGCCATCTAAATGAAATTGGTGTCATATGAAAGGTATAATTTCATACTTTTTGTGAATCAAAAAAAAATACATCATTTAATTTGTTAATATTAAATATGGTAACAACGTTTTCTTTAATTTTTTCTCTGAAATGTGAGTGTTTTAAAAATTATTATGTTGTCCATAGTAAAGTAGACTAATTACCCTTTCATATGGCACCAGTTTTGTATAGATGCGATTATCCGTTCAATAGTTATACGCTTTGTAAGCTTAAAAAACTGATGTATCTAATTTGAGTCATGCCCATCAATAGATGACGCTGACGATGCGATCTTAAAATATGCATACCTAATTTCTTTTCGTCATAACTTTTTTCATATTGTAGATTTTAAATTGAAAGATGTGTCACATGAAAAATACAATCGTGTACCTTATGGTAAATAAAATAAATTTACAAAATTCCATGTTATTGAATAAGCAATTAGATTTTTAACAAGAATCCCAGAAATTTGTAATTTTCTCTTAATATGGCAACCCTGTCAAACGATCTTTGATACTATGTTCCAACCTATTAATATTCATTCGAATTACTTCTGTATCATGAAGCATTATAAAAAATCAAAAATAATCAAATGATTTTCTGCAAATTTGGCAGCACTGGCAAACACTTCTTATCAGCGCCATCTATTAAATGGGTAGATCCAAAAATTGATTATGGAAAATTTAAATTTCATTTGTTTTTCCTATAACTTTTGACCTACTGTAGATATTCAAATAAACTTTGTGTCATATGAAAGGCACAATTTCATACTTTACTGTATAAAAACAATAATTTTATATTAGTATGAGTATAGTATTAAAGGCTTCTCTAATTTCCCTCGATAATATTTGTGTTATAATATGTTGCACAGGTCATAGGAAAGTCAATTATTTAGTATTTCGTATGACACACAAATGTTATTGAAATACGATTAACACTGTTCAAAATTTATACACATAGAAGGTTGAGAACCTCATTTTACATTACTTGAATCATGTCCATTAATAGATGGCGCTGACGACGGGGGTTTATAAAAATTACATACCTCATTTTATTTTGCTTTAACCATTACAAAATTATTTGATTTATTAATATGAAATTGGAGTTTCAAGATTAAGATTTATCTTCGAACAGGATTTATGTTTGAAAGAATTATGACGATGTGCGTATTTTTTTTATCAAATAAGAACATTTTTCATAACTTTGACCATTTCCTTTTGGTAATGGAGAGAAATATTTTTGATTTGTCTCTTTGAATCATACCAATCAATAGATGTCGTTGACGATGGGCCATTTTTAGGGTTGCAAAAATCACACATATTTTAGATATAGGTGTCATATGAGAGGTAAAAATGTATACTTTCTTACAATCAAATATTTAATAATATTTTTTTAAAGGAAAATCTAATTTGTCATGTTCTTTTTTAAATATGTATCTGGTTCAATATTTAAGGTTGTCTTTCTACCTTTCAAAATATATAGTTCAAAAGTTAAGACAAAATACGACAGTAGTGTTTTGCCTTTACCTATTTTAATCATGCCTATCAGTAGATGGCACTGGCGACGGACCATTGCCATATGGATGTCAAATGAAAGGTAATTTTATTTATTACAAAATAGCTTGATTTTAATATTAAAATATTTTTTCTTATTATAAATAAAAAAACATTTACTTTTAGATTTTAGCATTGTTGTAAAATAAACAATATATCCCGTCTTCTCTATCTCCCTCATCCCTATCTCCTTATACACACACCAACTCCCCTCAAGGAATAACATTGGTATTACAATTTTAATAGACATTTGAAATTAAGAAGAAGAAGAAGAAAAAACAAAATCCAAATTTTCTCAATATCTCAATGTAATGTAATTTGTATGTTAACACAAAAATGTAATTTAATGATGATGAACGTAATTAAATTAAATTTAAATTTATATATAGATGTATGCAAAAACAAAAAACGAAAATTAATTATAAGTATTCTTGTAAAATATTTTTAATCATGTCTGTGTGTAAAATATAATGAAAAAATAAGAAGAAGAAAACGGAAATAGAAAAGAAAAACTCCCCCAAAATAATATTAATAAAATAAATCGATTTTTAGATTAGTTAAGTCTTTAAAAATATTAATAAAAAATACAAAAACAATAAAAAATCTAAATTTTTGGGAAGATCTAAATTAAATAGTGTTTTATTATTTTTTATGGGATATAGTCACATGGGGGAATTACAATTAAATAAGGTTTTCTAACTCAAAATATTGAGATGTTATGTAGAATAATATTTTAAGAAAATATTATACAAATTTTTTGACTTTAAAGGCTAATTCAAAGAATTAAAATAATATCCATTGACTTAATGAAGTGGATATCGTAATTATTTGATAAGTTAATACAGACTTTTGCGATTTTAATTTATTTTTTTATCACCAAACTTGTTCAAAATTAGAAACGCAACATCTAAGACTTCGATTGCGATTTTTATATAGCTATTTTATGTATGCTTTCTGTTGAAGAGCCTTCAGACTAGATTTCACTTTTTTATGTCATATTAACATAAAATAATTGAATGTTTCAATTCGTTTTTTTATTTTCTTTATCTATTTTTAGTAAATAAATGCTCGTTCTATAAGGCTTTATACAAATTTTGTCTAAATCTTTCCGCTAATAAACT